GGGATCTGTTGCAACCACTCATCTAGTTTGGGGGTCACTGCCCCGAGTGCTCTGACCACCACAGGCACGACTGTCACCTTTACCTTCCAGGCTCTCTCCAGCTCCTCTCTGAGCCCTTGGTATTTCTCTAGTTTCTCGTGTTCCTTCTTTCTGATGTTTCCATCACTTGGGACCACCATATCCACTACAACGGCTTTCCTCTGCTCTTTATCTATGATCACGATATGTGGTTGGTTCGCCATTACTATCTTGTCAGTCTGTGTCTGGAAATCCCACAGGATCTTCACTCGGTCATTCTCCACCACCTTTGGAGGTATTTCCAATTTTGACCTTGTTCCAGTCCATATTCCACACAGATGTTTCGGTAGACATACCAGCCACCTGGTTATGGTGTTCCATGTAGGCTTTCCCTGCCAGCATCTTACACCCTTCAGTTATGTGTTGGATCGTTTCAGGTGCCTCTTTGCACAGCCTACACCTTGGGTCTTCTCTGGTGTGGGGTATCTGGGCCTCTATGGCTCTGGTGCTCAGGGCCTGCTCCTGAACAGCCAGGATGAGTGCCTCTGTGCTGTCCTTCAGGCCAGTGATCTCAAGCCACTGATCGGACTTCTTGAGATCAGCCACTTCAGTGATGGTCCGGTGGTACATCCCGTGTAGGGGCTTGTCTTCCCATGATGGTCCCTCTTCCAGCACATGCGCACCAAAAAGTCTTCCATTTTCTTAAAAGCTCACCGAGCGACTTAAAATCTGGTGCGTCTTGTGTATGGTCATTACGGAAATATGTCGACCCCAAAATGGCTTCTTGCTGGAGACATGCTGACAATGTTATAACTTGCTGTTGGTTCAGTGAACTGTGTCGCTGCTTTATTATATAAGTTTTTGTTGCGGCTCCGAAAAAAGGAGAGCTGTGGGGTTGTTTTTTTTAAAACAGTCTCAACAAAACAGTCTTCAGTTCGACTCAAGGCGTTTAAGACCGCCTCCGAAAAACGTGAACTAACGATTACGTCACTGACACTACGAAAATTGAAAATAATACATCAAAACTGAAAAGCAAGCGAGGATAACACAAAATAAATTCTGTACCCCCCCCTACAGAATTTATATTGTGATTTCATCATTTGTGAATACACAACAAAGGAATAAATAACTACTACTGACATCTGATCGGTCTGTTGGAGCTACGATCAAGGAAATGCCATTGCGTTTTTCGGAGCTGGTCATGAACGCCTCTTGAGTTGAACGACAGATGAGAAGGCACGGAGATGGACAAAGATGCACCTGTATTTGTTGAAAAAAGGAGATCTGTGGTTTTATTTTTTTTTTAAACGCAGACTTTATTAATGGTTTTCACAGTCTCAACAAATACAGGTACTGTACGTCTTTGTCCGTCTCCGTGCCTTCTCTTCTTCCGTTCCACTCGAGAGGCGTTCATCGCTGCCTCCGAAAAACGTAAATGAATGATTACTTCAATGGAATTACGAAGAAAATCAAGCGAGGAAATCACAAAATAAATTCTGTAGGAGGGATATAGAATTTATTTTGTGATTTCCTCACTTGATTTTCTGTTTTGATGCATTATTTTCAGTTTTCGTAGTTTCATTTAAGTACAGTAATAGTTAATTTACGTTTTTCAGAGGTGGTAATGAATGCCTCTCGAGTTGAACGGACGCCTCTCGAGTTGAATGGAAGGAGCGTAGCACCATCTAGTGGAGACATTGTAGATTGCGCCTTTTAATGCCATGCGTCGAATGTATGAAAACAAATTACAAAATAGCCATTCATTGAAGATGCGCCTCTTAATCCAGTGTGCCTTTTAGTGCGGAAAATATGGTGTGTGTGTGTGTGTATATATATATGAGAGAGATTGAGAGAGAGAGACAGAGATTTTCTCTTGTATTCATCATTAATGATACAATAACATTGTAACACTGAAGTGTATGGAAGTTGGCTCAACCAAATAAACAAACCACAAGAACGAGGAGTGTTGAGCAGCAGTTGGGACAGATGACATCAGTACAGGGTGTACGACGGCTGGAGAGCGCTTTTGAAAGACACCCCAGACAGGTAGGCCCATCGGCTGCCGAGCGCTACAGCAGAGCACCTCATGCGAATAGCCTGGGTACTTATGAGTCATGAGGTGAGGGGGACCTGAGGCAGATAGCCTGGGGGCACAGCTTAGAGGGGGGCCACACCGGCACAAAAGGAAGAACATGTCTGGAGGATGACAATAGGTGTGAGCAATGAGGAAGAAGATGGCCGCTGGGCTGAAGGAACAGACTAAACCTACAATGACCGACAATGTCTGGTAAACAAAAAAGAAATGACATCCATGTGAATCTCTGGAGATCCGTGCAAACAAATGACCACTAAGGAAAGCAATAAACAACTGCAACAACTTGGAAGGCAAAGAACACATAAATAATGGGAGGGGGGGATGGTAGCTGGAGCATGCAATGAACTTTTAAGCCAGCCACGGGACGCTTCGTAGTCCTCGATGGCCATAGTTAGCGCGATGGAACTCGCCTTCTCTCTAATTAGCGCTCCAGTTAGCGTAAGGTTTTTAGCACGATAACAAGTAAAGCATTCCAGGAAACGTTCGTTTATTTGACTGTCCGTCGAGCCACAAGCAATTTACTCTGAGCAGCTAATCGCATGCATTCCACTCTATCTTCCATGGATCTAGCTACAGTATCTACACACATAGACAGTGATGTCCCTCTTGGCCAATCGGAGGCCAGGATGATGCTCGGTAAGCCAATGGCAGAGCAGCTAGGAGTATGTTGCGTTCAGGAAACTCGCAGCTGTGACCGAAATAAACATCGTTCACTATGTAAACCAGTGTGGTGGTTGCTGTTGCCGTTTCCGAACGAAGCAGTAGAGGTCGTGTTGGATTAGACTTCATTGTAGTGAATGTCTTGGCGAGGCAGGAGCAGAGAAAATGATTTTGCATAACGCAACAGGGTTTTTTTTCGTCCTATGGGGGCAGGAGAATGGGAATGGTGTTAATGCATGAAGATTTTTCCACATTTGGGGGTATTTT